CTACTACTACTTTACTACTCTATAACTGTGTCTATACAACTGAAATATGTATTCATTGTAGCTTTCCAATGGCGGAGGAACCGATAAGCGAATGGCGCGCCCCTACCCCTAGTGCATCATCATCAACTAGCCTCGAGAGCCAAGTGTCCGTGACCCCGAGGCCAACAAAGAAACGTCATACAGAGGACGAAGATGATCCGACCTACCAACCGAGGGACGACGAAGTTGAAAGTGCGCGGTCTCCAAACCCTGAACAGATGCTGGTGGTGCCTCGAGAATTGAATTTTAAGGAGGAACAAGTCAGGGACAAAGAACCCCCCGCTCCATCTCCAACCACTTCAGGCAAGTCTAGGGGTCAAAGGATAAAGCTGAGAAGGGGGGAACACGGGAGGCACCAGAGGGGAACCCACGGCGAAGTCCATGTGATCCATGAGGTGGGACCAGAGGGAAACCTGTTGTCGCCACCCACGGTCCTTTCCAAGTTCAGCAACCAGGTGGCATGTATAGTCAAGGACAAGGTGGAGATCACTTGGGAGGAGTGGAACAATGTCCCGGTCGACTACAAGACACATATCTAGGGTGAGGTGACGAGGAGCTTCCATTATCCCGAGGACGTCGATCTGAACAAGTGCAAGGAGTGGGTCATGCACGTGGCAGGAAGAGCCTTTAGAAACTTCAAGTCCATGCTGACCAGGTACTACCTGAAGCTAGGCAAGTCACCCTGTGTCAAATACACTATGGTGAAGGAACATCACTGGGAAGAGTTCTACAAACAAAGAACAACAGAAGAAAAAAAGGCAAAAAGCGCCAAGTTCAGCGCACTCGCGAAGAAGAACCTGCACCCCCACCACTTGGGCATGACTGGGTTTGCTGGTAAGAGGCCCCAGTGGCGGGAGGAAGAAAGGGCTAGAGCTGCCACCGGGCTTCCCGATCCGTACGACGGTATAGACTTGAGGGCTAAGGACTTCATCTATGCCCGCAAGCCAAAGAAGCTCAAGGAGGGCACGAGCAAGTTCAATGAGCCCAAGTTCGAGGAGGTGGAGAGGGCTCTCATCGAGGCCGCTAAATCCAAGGACAGCTTCGAGGTTCACAGGGGCCAGGACTTGCTAACCCTGGCGCTGGGAACCCCCGAGCACCGTGGCCGCGTCCGTGGCATGTCGTCGAAGATGAGCTGGAACTCAGTGGAGTCATGGCAATCCGATGCTGCCACATACCGGTCAAGGCAGAGGTACAAGGAGGACATCTTTCAGAAGGGCTATGATCAAGGCGTGGCCGAAATGATCAGCCGGTCCATAAAAGAAGCCTTCATGAGCAATGACCCAAATATGGTGTCGATGAGGTCACAGATGCTTCGCCAGGCTGGCGTGGCCGTGCCTCAAGTTCCACAAGGGCAGACACAAGGGCAGCCACTGCCGATGATCGAGGATCGCCCAAGGCACCCCGTTGACGACATCCGGGAACCCATGCGCGTCCACCTCACGATCCCGTTCGGTAGGGCGAAAAAGTTGACCATGGGTGAGGGTTACATGCACCCCAAAGAAGATATCAAAGATTTCAACCAAGACCAGATCCCTGCCAACTATGCTGCCGTGATACTTACATGGTATGCGACCGAATACAAAGAATTTGAAATGGAATATCCAACTGCAGAAGGGGTAACGATCCTTGGAGCTGCCTTGGGTTCCGAAGTCCTATGGAACAAGGACGACATAGAATCATTCTCTTGACGCCGACTTCTACGCTGACGGCGACACCAGCATCACAACCATCCGTTGCTGGATCTTGTCCCCCTGATGATCCGGATCACGGCGACGGCGATGACGAAGGAAATGGCGGGGATGACAAGGGAAGGAACTCACCCTGAGGCACAAGGCCTCACCCTCGTTCTCCTCCTCCAACAACAAGTCCACCTCCACCTCCCGGCAGTCCGTCTAAGAGCACGAGCAAAGGACCGGGAGGCATAAGCACTCACCCTCGTTCTCCTCCTCCAACAACAAGCCCACCTCCACCTCCCAACAGTCCGTCTAAGGGCACAAGCAAAGGACCGGGAGGCACAAGCACTCACCCTAGTTCTCCTCCTCCAACAACAAGTCCACCTCCACCTCCCTGCAGTCCGTCTAAGGGCACGAGCAAAGGACCAGGATGCACGGAGGAACCGGGGGCAAAGACACCACCTGCTGCCATTGCGAGCACAAGCCACTGTCCTCCACCGCCGGCGAAGACTAAAGGCGACCAAGGGCAGCTCACATACTCACTTGAGTTCGAAAGGTATGGTAGCGGCGAGCATAATTTGCTAATAACTTTTCTTTGCCATAATATGGTACTAACATTTCTATCCCAGGCCGAGATCACCTTTCCATCTATTTCCTGAATCGGATGATTGCCCCGGCCATTACGAGCATGGGAAGTTCATGATAACCAAGGCCCAACTCGTTGACGAGGAAAGGTGGGAGACAAGGAGGTTTCATCTCTGGTACATGGAAGCGGCAAAAGCTGGCCTGCATGGTTTTCTAGTCAAGGTTGTGGCGGAGTACTTCCACTTGCCCGGCAACGATGTAGAACTCCCCGTGGACTTCCATGACATGTACAGACTACTGCGGGAAGAAGACCTTGACATCGCCCAAGTCACCTTGTTCTCTATGTAAGTGATGAATTTCGAGTTTCACATATCACCTGCCTTTGAATCGGTCAAGACTACTTATATATGCCACGATGGCTTGTCCTTGCAAGTTGATGGCCTATACATCCAAGGAACTAAAACTTGATGTTATCTATCTATCTCTAATGCATATTGCTCAAAGAATCATCATTGGTTACCACCTAGATGACAATCATCCAAGCATGAAGGACTTGACCAAGCGACAAAGAGAAGCGCACAGGAAGAAACTGATGGACAATGAGAAGTTGAACATTTCAAGGTACATACTAGGAGCAATGAAGAAGATCAGGGGACATGGGTGTATCCTAGCTGCCTACCACTTTGGGTAAGTCGAAGACATGCCTGTAGAGATAAGTGGGTAGCTAGCTAGAATTATTATTTCTCGTCGTAACCTGTATTTTGTTTCAATGGCTCAGCCAAGACCTCGAGGGTCACTGGGTTGCATTTATCATCTACCCTCAGGATGGCAGGGCCTACGTATTTGATTCGTTGACAGTGCCAAACTTAAAAGGGTACAAGGCCTTTGAAGATTGCCTCAGAGTGTAAGTGACTGAACTGTCTTCTCATTGCGTTCTAATGCCCTGCCTAATACTAGTACATTTCGTATAGCGCTTATAAGGAGTACGTGAAGGATCCTGAATGCTATGATCGAAGAACAGAGAATTTCAAGGCTAAGCATAAGAACCGCATCAAAATCAGACGTAGCTTTCCGGTAAGTATTTGAAAGGTTTAATTGTGCTTTCCGTTCATATGCGTTCTAATGCCTGTGTTGTAATGCTTGTGTATCGATCATGCAGTGTGCCAAAGAACCGGTAGGATCACAAACCTGTGGCTTCTACGCCTGTGAGTTTCTGAGGGTGTGCAAGCAGTACAGCAGCAGTTGGAGGGTGCTCAAGAATGGATTGAAATGGTCGAGAGACGTGCAGAGCATCCAACACAGCTTCAAGCAGACAAAGACGGACATATGTAAGTTTGTCTTAGACAAATGCGTGCTTGAAGGGGGCACGTTCTTCAATGAGAACACCCGCTAGCGATTTTACCGAAGTACGAGAGGATGAGGAAATGGCCCACGATGATGCGTCCGCAGGATTACACCTTAGCGCATGTATAACGACTTTAATATGTGAATGTAATGAATTAACGATGACAAGAACGACTAAGTGAATGTATATATATGTATATTATCTCATGTGTAATGCCTGCATACTTTTTAAGTTTAATCTGTGAAATCTGGATGTGATTTGAATTTGAATTTATATGTCTGCTGTATTTTTTTAATTCAGGATATAATTTACCGAGGCGGACAAATAATAAAGCCCGCCACGGCTAATGAACATAACCGCGGCGGGCCATAAAAGTTGTCCGCCGCGGTAAAATAATTTACCGTGGCGGGCGGTGTAACGTGCCCGCCGTGGTAAAAGTATATTTACTGCAGCAGGCACGTTACACCGCCCGCCGCGGTAAATCGGTTAACCGCGGTGGGCAAAGCCACCTGCCGCGGTTAAGCCACGATTTACCGTGGCCTCTAGGCCGCGGCGGACGGCTTTGCCCGCCGCGGGAAATCGAAAACGCCCGTCTCCAGTAAAGTTTGTGTAGTAGTGGAAAGTTTATTTATCACTTAATGCACGGTTCATATTTTTTATTTGAAATAAAAAATGTGGTAGCACAAGAATAAATTACGTAATATGCATGGAACTGCCGCCGGTTGAGCGCCACCAAAATGGCTGCATACGTATGATGTTAACCATTTAAATCGTTGCCCAATGGTCGTAACTTTGCTTCGCTGGAGATGGAAAGTGAAAGCTGTCTTAGAGTTCGCCCGGCTTGGCTAAATTTTGGGGTCTGCCGCTGCTTGCCTCCCAATTGTTGTATCTGAGATAGCAAGAACATGCCATCTGGTAATTCACATACTGAATTCAACATTTCAGTTGCAGCTGAAACTGCAAGACGGAGCACACCACACATTTTTCACGCATCAACGGATGAAAAAAAAAATTCTCAGAGGACATGTTGGGGAACGGGGGGACGCAGGCAGGCGCAGTCCCGCGACGCCAGGAGAAGGGACGAGGACGACTCGCCGGCGCAGGCCACTAAACCCGGCGATCTCCAGGGCGGGAACGCGGGCGGGAGTCTCTTCTCAGATTCTGTATCCGTAGCTACAGGACTCGGGAAAATGAGTTCGGGATACAGAATCTGTAATCTGTTCGACGCGATCTTTAGCTCCGGATCGGAAAACCGGTCTTCACGGGAAGGAATGGAGAGTTTGTTGGAGATGGCCTTACAAATAGGAGATACCAACAGTATACCTGCATCTACTACGCAAGCCGCACCCCTCCCTAACATGGCCGCCGCCGCCGCCACCAACGGCGCCCTTGCCATGACCAACGCCACCAACGGCGCCAGGACCAACGGCACTCCTGCCACCAAACCGAACGGCGCCTCCGCCACGGCCTACGGCTCCCCCGCGTCCCACCATAGCGCGGACGGTGCCGGCGACGGCGTTCCCGTGCCAGGCTCAGGCCGCGACCACATCGTCATCTTCCCCTTCATGGCGAAGGGCCACATGCTCCCGCTGCTCCACTTCGCGACGGCACTCTCGGCGCAACACGGGAGGAGCAGCCGCCTCCGCGTGACCCTAGTCACCACCCCGGGCAACGTGGCCTTCGCCCGGAGCCGTCTGCCCTCGTCGGTGGATCTCGTCGCGCTCCCGTTCCCGTCGTTCCCGCCGCTTCCCGCGGGCGTCGAGTCCACCGACGCGCTCCCGTGCCCGTCGCTGCACCTGACGTTCATGCACGCGACGGGGCTCCTGCGCGGGCCCTTCGCCGAGTTCCTGGAGTCGCTCCCCTCCCCGCCGCTCGCGCTCGTCTCCGACTTCTTCCTCGGGTTCACGCGCCGCGTCGCGGCCGACGCGGGGGTCCGCCGCGTCGTCTTCAACGGCATGTCCTGCTTCGCCTCCGCGATCTGCAAGGCGCTCGCCGCGAGCCCGCCGGCCAGCGGCTTCGCGCCCGGGGCCATGATCCAGGTGCCCGGCATGCCGGAACACGTGGTGGTCAGGGCGAAGGAGGTCCCCGACGGGGTCACCAAGAGGGCCGATCCGGACAACCCGTTCACGCGCTTCTTCATGGACGAGATCGGTGACTCGGACGTGCGCAGCTGGGGCGTCCTCAGCAACAGCTTCGCCGCGCTCGACGAGGCCTACGTGCCGGCCTTGGAGTCATTCTACGAGGTGGGAGCCCGTGCCTGGCTCGTCGGCCCGCTGTTCCTGGCCGCCGCCGGCGTCATGCCAGACGGCGAGAAGGAGCAAGACCCCGAGGGCTGTCTCTCGTGGCTGGACGAGAGGGCGGCGGCGCAGCCGGGGTCGGTGGTCTACGTTTCGTTCGGGACGCAGGCCCACATCACGGACGCGCAGCTGGACGAGCTGGTGCACGGGCTGGTCCAGTCCGGCCATCCCTTCCTCTGGGCTGTCCGATCTGACACATGGTCGCCGCCGGTAGACGTGGGGCCCAACGGCCGGATCGTCCGTGGATGGGTCCCGCAGAGAAGCGTTCTGGCCCACGAGGCAGTTGGTGGGTTCGTGAGCCACTGCGGGTGGAACTCGGTGATGGAGAGCCTCGCCGCCGGGAAGCCCATGCTGGCGTGGCCGATGATAGCGGAGCAGCACCTGAACGCAAGGCACGTGGCCAACATCATCGGCGTCGGCGTCAGGATAGCCCTGAAGGCTGGCGCGGACGTCGTTGGGAGCGCGGAGGTGGAGGAGAAGGTCCGGGAGCTGATGGACGCTGAATGCAAGTCGGCGAAGCAGATGCGGGAGAGGGCTGCGTGGGCGCAGCAAGCAGCGAGGTCAGCGGTGAGCCACGGTGGAACTTCGGCCATGGCTTTGCAGAAGCTTGTGGAAGAGCTACAGGAGACCTATGATGACGTCGTAGGCAAAGGTGCAAATGGTGTTTAGAATGATGTTTCCAGTACTTCTGTTAGGTTGGTGTTCAGAATGATCTTTCCAGTACTTCTAGTTCAAACACGTGTCGTTAGTGCTACTGTGCTTTTTCTGTTTTCATTATATTAGCTGGCTAGCTGCGTTTGTTTCACAGAATATCAAATTAGATGGAATCCAAACAAACCCACGAATCCTTTCCCAGGAACGACTTATCCAGTAAAGTAGCAGGAAAATTAGCTGCTATCTCAGTAACATAGCCCTTATTCTCTCCATATTTTACACGACATTGAACATTACCAATTGCTGTTTGAGAAATTCAGAAACTAGCCCTTTTCACGTATTGTTTGGTCCTTATGAGTAGGTCAAAAATTAGGGAAATAGTAGCGCATGGACATCCAATGGGGATGAAGACAAGTCCGCCCCGACGCATGACATGCCCCCATCCGTTCGCCCCGCCCCCCATCCCCATCCATTCGCCCAGCCCCTGCAGGCGCACCCCCACCCCCACAAGCGCACTCCCGCCCCGTCGTGCCCCTGACCTCTAGCCCCAGAGCCACACGCCACGTCCGCAGGCCACCGGCTCGCCGCGCCCCATTCCCCAGTGCCCCCTAACTCTCTAAACGACAGGAAACATGTGCAACATGAAACACTTGAATGCAACATACGTCTGAAACAGATGAAACATCTAGAATATACATTTGCAACATATGTGTGAAAACATATGCAACATCCAGATAGAACACTTGCAACTTGCAACATGAAAACACTTGCTGCAACAGAAGACTAAAACAGATGAAACATTTTGGAACATACTGTTGCGACATGTGTGAAAACATATGCAACATCCAGATCAAAACGCTTGCAACATACGTCTGGAAACAGATAAAACTATTTGAACAAACGCTTGCAACATGCGTATGGAAACAGATGAAACTATTTGAACAAACGCTTGCAACATGCCTCTGAAACACTTGCAACTTATTCAACATGTGCAATATCCCCCGACCTACTTTTGCAACATCCATATGAAACAATTGCAACATGCCTCTAAAACGTCTAAAACAATTGAAACATACACTTGCAACATATGGGAGATAGGCCTGGGCCGGTCGATTCCGGTCGACAGGGCGGGAGCCAGCGGCTACGCACGAGCACCACCCAGCACTAGCACCGGCGAGCACCGAGCTTGGCTCAGCAGGGACGGTGGGGGATGGGGGCGGGGAGTGCCATGGCCGCTGGGTGGGGGGAGCTCAGTCGCCGGGGTGAGAGAGTGTCGACGAAATCTGGTCGGCAGTCTACCGAGGGGTATACCCACGGTAGTAGATGATCGATGGAGGTGCGCGTAATAAGAACCGGATGGTGACACAAGGCGCAAAGACAGCGATTTAGACAGGTTCGGGCCATCTGATCAACGTAATACCCTACGTCATGAGTCTTTGTTGGATTGTATTGAATATAAGATGATTTCGAGGGGGTCCTTGCCCGCCTTATATAGTCTGGGGGGCAGGGTTACAAGTTGGTTAGATCTAGATCTATTCGGGTATATGGTAAGTATTTACAAGGAGTACGATATCTATCATATCCGAACAAATCCTTCTCTATCTTCAAGATTCCTTCCTAAAACTGTGTGATGCATGCCGATCAGTGTTTTGCATCACTCGCCTTCTTCATATGGGCAAGACCACGCCTGGTGCTGCGGCCCATGTCCATTGCCGTGGGTATCTGGGGTTATACCCCCACAGCTAGTCCCCGAGCGCCTTGTCTCCGCTGAGCAATGCCGTCTTGAGCAAGTCCGAGCAGTTTGACATAAAGCCGATCAGTTTAACCGGTGATCCGAGCGGTAAAAGTTGAAGCCGACCAATTTAACTGGTGATCCGAGCGAGAAAAGTTAAAGCCGGCCAGTTTAACTAGTGATCTAATCTCGGACTTAGCCAAGTAAGGCTTGCCAGAAGGATGTAAGGGGCTCAAGATAAAAATTTAAAAATTCTCCACCTTAAACGAAGTATAGCCACTTAGACTCTGTTTGCGAGGAATCATCCATGACTTAGTCAAATAAGGAGGGTAAATCAAGAAAAGAGCACTATATTCATCGCTAGGTGAAGTGTAGCCACTTAGTCCCTGAGCCTGCTGGAAGATGAAGAATAAATCTTATAGAAGGGTCAAAGAAAATAAATCTGAAAGCTTGCTACATCATTTGATATGTACGTATGAAGACTCGGCCGCCAAGGGAATCCCCGACTTAGCTGGCAATGAAGTGACGAACAATCCGACCTGTTGGTTGGTGAAGAAACGAACATCGATCAACCCAACCAACTGGTCGGCGGTGAAGTAAGCGCCAAGTAGAAGTGAGTGCCGAACAGTCCGACTAGCTGGTTGGCGACGAAGGTCATGAACCTAGCGGTCCGAGCAGTTGATCGGCGGAGAAAGCAGCGGTGGAGCTTGCCGAAGACATCGAACTTAGGTAAAGTGTACACACTTAGGCTTCGTTGGTGAAGTCAGATGATCACCATCTGGTGTCAGGATCAAAGAATTACAACAATCACTAAATCAGGATAATCAACTCCTAGCGTAGCCGAGCACACAGCTAGCCCCCAGCTTAGCTGAAAACCAGTAAGAAGGAATAACAGTACATTCACCGCAAGGTGAAGTGTACACACTTAGTTCCCAAGCCTGGTGTAAGATAGAGAAATATCTTGTAGCAGGATCAAAGAAGTAAGTGTGAAAGATCAAAGAAGTACAACGATCAGTTAATCAGAATAACTGAGTCCCAGCTTAGCCGAGTACACAGCCAGCCCCCATCTTAGCTGAAGACCAGTAAGAGGAAAAACAGTACACTCACTACTAGGTAAAGTGTACACACTTAGTCCCCGAGCCTGATGTAAGATAGAGCAGCATCTTGTAGCAGGATCAAAGAAACAAGTGAAAAGGACGAAATCCCCGTGCTAAGAACTGGACATTAGGGTAAAATTTGGAGAGTGTTGAGCACTTAAAAATAGAGAAAAATAGAGAGTGCTTAGCACTTTACCGTTGGAGAAAATTAGAGAGTGCTTAGCACTTAAACCGTGGAGAAAATGGAGAGTGCTTAGCACTATACCGTGGAGAAAATAGAGAGTGCTTAGCACTATACCGTGGAGAACATAGGAGAGCATGGAGAATATTGGAGAACATGGAGAGTGCTTAGCACTATACCATGGCAAAATTTGGAGAACATGGCGAAAATTGGAGACCGTGGCGAAAATTAGAGAATTGAAGACCGTGGCGAAAATTGGAGAACCATGGCGAAAATTGGAGAACCGTGGCGAAAATTAGAGAACCGTGGCGAAAATTGGAGAACCGTGGCAAAATTTGGAGATCGTGGCGAAAATTGGAGACCCGTTGTGAAATTTGGAGACCATGACAAAAATTGGAGAACCGTGGCAAAAATTGAAGATCGTGGCAAAAATTTGGAGACCCTATCTGGCACGCCACTGTCGACGAAATCTGGTCGGCAGTCTACCGATGGGTATATCCACGGTAGTAGATGATCGGTGGAGGTGCACGTAATAGGAACCAGATGGTGATACAAGTCGCAGAGACAACGATTTAGACAGGTTCGGGCCGTCCGATCGACGTAATACCCTATGTCCTATGTCTTTGTTGGATAGTATTGAATATGAGATGATTTCGAGAGGGATCCCTACCCACCTGATATAGTCTGGGGGGCAGGGTTATAAGTCGGTTAGATCTAGATCTATTCGGGTATATGGTAAGTATTTACAAGGAGTACGATATCTATCATATCCGAACAAATCCTTCTCCATCTTCAAGATTCCTTCCTAAAACCATGTGATGCACGCCGACTAGTGTCTTGCATCACACGCCTTCTTCTTATGGGCTGGACCACCCCTGGTGCTGCGGTCCATGTCCATTGCCGTCGGTATCTGGGGTGGTATACCCCCCACAGAGAGGGCGTCGCAACGGGGTGGGGGAGAGCCGCCCACTCCCCTGCAACACCGCTGTGCCACCTCCATGAATCTCGCGCGGAGACGAGTGGATCTCGTTCGTGCTCCATGGATCTCGCCGGGGTGGGGACAGGGCCATCGGATTTATGGGCATTGGGGGCTCCTGGTGAGGACGCCAGTGTGGGGGAGGATACCGGGCTTTGGTACGCTATGGCAGGGGATGAGGAGCGTGGAAGGGGTAAGGATAGGGAGGAGGAAGCGAAGGGATAAGTTTTTTTGTAATATACAAATGGGCGGGAGCAAGCTGCGGGTGTGAAAAAGCCGTCGGATGTTTGTGCGATCCATCAGACGCACGACACATAACATTTCCGCAAAAATTAACCCTTCCAATGGTCATTCAAACCATAAGAGGCACAAGGATTAAGCTCTGGTGGTCTGCTATGTTTAGGCTGAGCAGTTTGGGGATAGACAGAACTCTGGTGGTCTGATATGTTTAGGCTGAGCAGTTTGGGAATAAACAGAAAGCGTGCTTATACACCGTCTGAAACCTGTGGAAGGAGCAGACGAGTTTTCGACAACATAGAACAGACACCCACACATATAGCAAGCCTAATCACGCAAGACATCCTCCTCAATGAAACAGCGCATGGGCAATATCCTGCACATAAGACTGTCTCCAACGGTGGAAAGGCAAACACGAGACCTATTCGAGGATTTGAGTCCCGTATAGGCAAAGGGTCACGAACCCAAAAACTTCCTTCTCCAACAACAGTGAACCCAAAATCCTCCGTCCGGGCGGCTCCTCCAAGATGGCAGCGCAACGGGCGGCCACCGGCGCCATGGCGCTCGTCGCGGGCGCGGCCAGCCCCCCTCCCCCACCCCCCTCTGCGCCATGGCCGGCTCCCCTGTGGGCTTAGGTGGGGCGGCGGGTGCTGCAAGGGGAGAGGGGGAAGGGAGAGCGCTCGGCGGCGCTATTGCCTCGGCGCGAATTGAAGGGAGGGAGAAGCAGGGGAGCAGGGAGAAGAAGAGGAAGGTGGCGGCGGACCGCACGACGATGTAGAGGTCGATGGCGAC